ATGTTTAGTTTTATGGGTTGTTAATAGAAGTGGATCACCTCCATACACCCCCAATAGTACCAACCTGCCTGACCCATGTGCTCAAAATCCCCTCTGCCCTTGCAGTGGTACACATCAGCATAATTCAGGGTTACAAATTAGGGTCACAAATTAGAGTTTTAGTTTCTACACACCAAAACTGGGTGATGTTCACTTGATAGTTGAGATACAAACTAACAACCACCTACTCAAATTTTTGCTTTAGCTATTTTGTAATTGTGAAAGAATTCTCACTATATGCATTTAAATTTTGATTGCATTTGATTATACCCAGGTTCAGTGCAAAATTACTTAATTTTCTTTTGATTTATTTCTATGTAATTGTATTATTTCTACATTCTTTTAGTAAAATCTCATCTATTCTAAGATTTCTATTAATTGATCGATCTCATGAACTATTTATAAACTTCTAAACTAACAGCTCTAAAGTAAAACTATGGCTAGTGCTTTTAATATTTAAAAATATAGGCACTAGCTATTCTTATCAAACTACAAATATCGATCTTTCAAAAGTTAAACTAGAATGTTTGTTTGTTTGTTTTTTATATATATTTTTTAAAAATTTTATATATTTTTAATAATATAAAACATGAATTTCAAGCTTTTGATAGTCATAAAGAATATAAACTTGCTACTAATTTTTTTGTTTATTATTTTTGTTTTTAAGCATTAGATTTTTTTAAAATAACATGCTAATCAAGAACTCTAATCAAAGATAACAATAAAAATATTATCTTTCATAATAATTCAATACAATGTCATTGCATTCACTTTTCAATTGTAGAGAATAAAAAATATATTTATTCACTTGTCTACTCATCCTTTTTTTTAAACAACATAGACAAATGAATGTACTTGTATAATCTACTACAATACATTGTGTTATATCTTGTGAAAAGTTGCACTTGAGAGAAATAAAAGATAATATTGTATAAACATTAAATTTCTTTATATAAGAAGAGGATTGTCTAAGACATATAATGCTACATTTTGGTATGACCAAACTTAGCCTTTATAATTAATAAATGGAATGTAAGTGAATAATGATAATATCAAAGTTTGTTTTATTTAGATCACAATATAAGCTAAACTAAATTTTAAATTTTAACTATCAATAATTTTAAATAAAATAAACATCATTTATTTATAAATTAAATTCTTTAAAATATAAATTGGATATATACTTAGACATATTAAAATTGATAAATATGACATTTATAAAAAAATATAGATTCTAACAAACTATACTTTTGATAAAACTTGTATAAAAAGATATATCAAAAGAGTATTCAAAAGAAATATTTTAGATTGCACAAAATAATCCTAATTGACAAGTAGGTCAAGAAGTAGATATGTATCAAGTGAGTATATTAATTACTATCCAATTGTTACACTGTTGAGATTTTAATATACTATAAAATAATCTGGTGCCAAAAGTTGTATTCTAAGCACCTTATATTGTTACTTTTCATTCAACCAATATATAGCAATACACTAGCCAAAGTAGATATATATATATATATATATATGTTCATAAAATAAATGATTTTATGTCTTTTGTGCATCACAATTTTACATATATATATATATATATATATATTATGGACTTAAACAATATTGACGTGGTCAAATTTAATACTTAAATTATTCAAAAATATATATATATAAAATCTAAATTGTTCTAATATTATATATATATATATATATATATATATATTACACATGTAAAGAATCCAATGCATTGATCAGCCTTTGGGTGTTTGAATAGTCAACTTGATATCCTCAACTTTTAAAGACACAAGATATGTGGTGATAGATAAGATGTATTATTGTCATCTTATTGTATTTTAAGAAATGTAAATTATTATAATGTTTATTCTAAATAATATATGTAAGAAAATCCTTTATAATGTAGTGAAAAGAAATTTAGTATTTACAAATCTTCATTACATAGTTTGTGTGACTTTAGACACTAGACATTTTAAAAATAAGCTGGTGTGGATTAAAACTTATAAGATGTCTACTAGGAATAACAACATGGTATCTATCTATTTTCCTTATACACAATAAAATGTGCATGTTTATTTCTATTTCTATAATAAATTATTACCAAAAAAATTTTGATTGATAATTATACAGCTAAAGATACAAAACAACCATATCCTTGTTACACAATCACCATACTGGCAATTAATGTAATTTGGAAGCAAATTAGATGAAAATAGGACCTTGGATGCCATTGGTTTTCAAACACCCAAAGGCTGATCAATGTATTGGATAAACCTCAGCAGTGTCAAAGAAAGAGGAAGGAATTCCACTTCTATTTGTTCTAAGACTTCACCATAGTAAGTATAGAATAAATAAATATCATCTTGTGTTATAAACTGCCCTTAGATTCTTGTCATGGGAAGCAATCACAAAACATTAAACAGAACTTAACAATTGAAGTTAAAATAAACATGGATTGGCTGCTCAATGCCCACGATCAGATGAACTGCATGTCAGGTTCTTCAATCAATGCTTCATTTCAAACCTAAAACTGTTGTGGACATGGAGGAGTGTCAAGGCTTTTACATGAAAACTGGTAGAGCGAAGGGGATTTTTTCCTCACTAATGGGAAAGAGGCGAAAAGCTGAAGAAAGATTTGGGTGGCATTCAATGACCATGGCAGCGTTCATTGACCACAAAGGGACCCAATGTTCCCCAAAACAGGGATTAAAAGATCCCATAACAGTGTATAAATCAGCAGACAAGTTCAAATTTAGGGTTCTCACACAGTCCTTTTGTTGCCCTTTTTCCTATTTTTTTAATGTTTGGAAGAAATTAGGCTGTCAAGTCCTCCACCTTGGCTGGCTGGGTCAAAGCTTGCCTGCTTCAATGCTACCAAGACCCATTTCCCTCTCTTGCCTCCAGACCCAGTGTTTACAATTAACACTTTGTTCTAATAATAATACCAGTTAAGCACCTTGTGGAAACCCTAACATAAGTGAAACACAGTGCCCTTTATTTTCCTGCTAAAGAGGATGAACTGAATAGTCAGCTTGATTGCTGGGTAAAGAAGAATGTTGGGTGACTCCATAACAACACACTCATGCTAAAAGAAGAGCAAAAGGAAAATGAAGTTTGAGTGAACATTGAAAACCCTTATTCCTTTTGTGTGTGCATAGATTTTTGCTTTCATATCCATTGACCATAAAGCTGCGTGTGTGTGTTTTTCTTGTGGTCCAACTGGGCAAGTCAAATGCAAAGTCAATGGTGCATGGAATGAAGTTTGACGACAATGTCTGAACCTTGTTCCAGTTAAGGTGCAAGGGATATATATAGAGAGAGAAGTGGGTGTTTAGGGTTTGGGGTTCATTGTTTGGGTTTAAGAGTTCCTCTCAAGTGTCCTACACATGGGCCATTCCACATTGGTTTTTTGGAGAAACAAATGAAGAAACAAAGGTTTATTTTGTACTGTAAAGTGGTGATGCATCACCAAACCCAGTCAGATGGTGACCCTCAATTTTTATGAGCTTGAGAAATCCTCACCCAATGCAGCAGGAGGCCAACCTTTCTTTAAACCATATATATATATATATATATATATATGTGTGACTTTTCATATTTTGTATGAGAGATGGATGTAAGCTCAAGCTCCTTTTTCCATGTATCAATTTCACCCAAACCTTTCAAGACTTAAAATCTCCTTTTCCACAGGGCAGTCTTTCTATTTCTCCAATAAAGAAAAAAACAATAAAAGAAAAAAACAATAGAAGAAAAAAAGAAACAACAACAAGGGGATGAAAAGCGTCCATATTCCAACTCAACATCCACACCACTCCCATCCATCTGTAACTTGCTTGTCATGTCCTTGGATACTGGAAGAGTTCATAACCCAGAAGCAGCAATATCAGGAAGAAGGGGGGACACAGTGTCACCCTAAAATTAGCACCCACACTAACCCAGTCAGGCTTAATCATACCCTTTGCCCCAACTTCAAATACAATCTCTTTTCATCATCAACCATATTCCACTTTACAATGATAGACCCTTTATTCCCCCCTCCCCCACCCCACCCACACTTTCATCTACATATTAAAATAAACAAAACTCACAAAGTGGGGGGGCAGAGGCTCACATGGAAGGCAGCAAATAATAATAATAATTCCTAGTGGAGCCTTCTTACAAGGTGCAGGACAAGCATGATGCGGCTTCACCAGGTGGAGCTCAACCAGAAGGGCAAAAGGGGGGGGATGGGGTGGACTGTTCCGACAGTGGAACTAGGCTGCAAAACAGATGAAAGTGCGTACCAATGGATGGACAGAATCGGAGGCAAAAGGAGTGTTGGAATAAGCAACTTGGGCGGGGCGGCTGGAGTTGACTGAATCCACTGCGTGTGTGTGTGCAGAGAGTGTTTGGGTCGCGCCATTGCCCTCGCCCCAGCAGAGTCTTCTCGCCCTTTTCTTCACAACCTGTGCATCGTCACGACCTCACAGACGCACTACGACACGCACTGCCCCTCAGTTTCAACTGGATCTAGACTTTTTTCCACAGTGAGTGAGCGAAAGAGTGACGGAATCATTCCGCAAAAGCCTCCCCTGCTGCTTCTCCTCACCTTTCTCTACAGTTGGCTCTTGTTTTAGTCAATTGGGTGTGTTTGGAACAGTGGGAATTACTAGAGGGGATGCATTTTTGTGGAGCGTTTTTAGTTCGGGTTATTGCGATGCGTGGATGTGAGGCTTGGTGAGGTGATGTGGATGTGAGTGTCGGGAGTTCAGGGGTTAGGGGAAGTGGGAGTGAGAGTGTGTTGGGATTTGGAGTCGTGGAGGAGACGACGTTGGTCGGGTTGGTGTTTACGTAGTGGAGACTGGAGCGATACTTGGATTGACGAGGAGGTTTCGCGATACGGTGATGCTTCACCAAAAGTGAGTGTTTTTTTTTTTTTTTTTTTATTTTTTATTGTCGGTGTGGCTGCTGTGGCAGGTACGAGGGTGCTCGTTCGCTTTCCTCCTCCTGTCTGGTCGTGCGTCCTCTTGGGTCTCTATTGGGCCGCAGGCTGTGTGTGTGAGAGAGAGAGTGTGAGAGAGGGTGAGAGCGAGGTGAGGAGTGTTTAGGGGAGGATAATTGGTAATTGTGGAGTGGAAGTTGGGGTTCTAATGACGTGCTTTACACCCCATTTGTAATGATAAGCGGCTCGGAAATTAGTCAGTGACGCGATCCCCGAACCTATCGCTACACAAGAGATGGTTGCAGCGTTTTGAATTTTGCTCTGTGCCGCAAGTGTAGTCCGTCATTGAAGCACCATCTTCGTTTTAATTTGGTTACTGGCAGCGATAGAGCGTGAAATTTGGCTTTGCTGAAATACATGTTAAATCGATTTTCTCTCCCCTACTTCGGGGCTGAGTCAAGTAGAGTGAGCGTTTCAGCCGAATGCGTGGTTTTTCTCTTGTTGCGGCTTGTTTGATCCACAGCTATCATGAATTCTGTGATTGACGATAAATTCGTCGAAATAAAGTTTTTCACTGGAGCTGCCCAGTCATTTGTTGTGCTTCTGCTCGTTAGTTAGTGCTCTAGCAGATACGTTTAGCCCCTCAACCTTCGTCCAGAGGTAGACACAAGAATGAAATGAGAGGAAGCGGGTGTTAGATGCTCGGTCTGTGGCCCTGCTTCTAACAACTTACATAATCAAGATGCGAGTGTTGCGCTTTTCTGTTGCTACTTGGACTGTGGGGATAGTCGATTCATCGAAAAGGGCTCTTTGGAAATTGCCTCTTTACAGTATTACTCGCCAATTCAGCACTGTCCCACCCCAAGTCCTCCAGGTCTAATCCCTTTTAGCAGGTCAATTTTGGGCGTGTGATATTGAAATTCATGTGCAATTCTGCTGGACCCTGCGCCTTCTCACAGCCGATGCGCTGCCTGCACTGAATTCTCTCAGTTCAATTTCTAGCCTTTGGAGCGTCAAGATACACAAATTGTGCGCGTGTGCATCTACTAAAGCTGTGGCTTGGTGCTCCGTATTTTGCTGTTGTAGGGCTATTGAAATATTGTCGTAATCGTTAAAGAACAGAGTTTACGCCTGCTTGTGCGAAATTCCATGCGAGTACATGAAAGGGCAGTTGTCTCAAGGTACCAAATCAGCATCGACGGAATCTAGAACAAGATTGCTCGTAAAACCAACGCCCTCACGTCCGCAACCACCATCGTCATCGTCTATGACCACTCACAAGGCTGACAGTCCTATGAGCATAGCCTCTAGTTTCCTTAACGACCAAGACGCGGAGCATGAATTGAAGTCCTTCTCGCACCTCCTCGCAGGTGCCATGTCCCCCCCGGTACCCTCCGATCCCTCCACCGCCTCCAATCTTGAAGAGAAACCTTCGCCCTCCTTGGATGGCGTGGGGAGCAACTCCCCCGGTCGTAGTTTCGCAGAGAGACTTGCAGCTCGAGGAGCAGCAGCGAATAAGAGTGAGTCCGTCTCCGAGGTAGGTACCGCTGGTCGTCTGCCTCCGTCCAACAATGGCAGCCGGTACAACCAGTCTACACCTTCCAGCCTTCCCAACCCTCGAGGTGGTGAAGGAAATGGAGGTGGTGGAAATGGTGGTGGTGGAGGTGGAGGTGGCGTTGTAGCAGGAGGAGGAGGAGGAGGCGGCGGCGGTGATGGCAATTATCTAACTATTCCCCCGGGTCTACTTTCTCCCACCACTTTGTTCGACGCCTCCCTTGTTATGCTTTCAAATGCACAGGTACAGTTTCTATTTCTGTTCATCTCGTCAGGTTTTGATTCTCGTGAAATTGGTTAGGCTTCACATGGTAGATGGAGAGCATTTTGTTTATATCTTTTTCTTTTGTCTGACATATATAAGTCATGTCTTCATAAATGCAGTCAGAGCCGTCCCCAACCACAGGCACATTCTCATTTGCTCATTCGTACTACAATGGCGCAATGCGAGGAATGGCGAATGGTCCCAAGGATGCCCAGAACGCCGATCAAGGAAGCCAAGGGTTCGTCTTTAAACCTCTCGGTGTCAAGTCCGTCTCTCGCAACCAAATGTCGTCTATACCAAACCTGCAGAAATTCGCCGGTGTGTCTCAACAGCAAGCACAGGCTCTAGCACACATACAGAGCCAACATCAACAACAACACCAACAGCAGCAGCAACAACAGCAACAACAACAACAAGCAAGTCAAGTGCCACATAGAGCTGCAGTTGAAGCAGAAAATTCGCAAGACTCAGAGCAAGATAATCAGCCACCACCCCCCATGGCCGTCCCAACGTTTCTGGACAGGCCGTCCGAGGATGGCTATAACTGGCGGAAGTATGGGCAAAAGCAGGTGAAGGGCAGTGAGTATCCCCGCAGCTACTATAAATGTACTCAGGCGAATTGTCCGATGAAGAAGAAGGTGGAGCGGTCGCACGATGGACAGGTGACGGAGATTGTATACAAGGGTGATCACAACCACCCTAAGCCCCAGCCTACTCGCCGAATGGCCTTGAGTGGGGCGCATCTTCTCGCGGATGGTTTGTCTCGAGAGACAGACGGCAATGACGGTAGGTCAGATGGGTGGATGGGATTTCAAACCCAGGGACATGGTGGGCCGTCATCCGCTTCCGGGAGTGACGACGAAGATGGGAGCAAACTTTCGAACGAGGACGGCGACGATGACGAGCAGGATTCGAAGCGAAGGTTTGTCCACTTCCCTGTTGCTGTAGGAATGGCGATCTCTTGTCTGAGATTTTGACTATTTTAGAAGCTTTTCTCAACAATGATCCTTCATGGTTAATAGGAAGAGGAATGATTATTCTAAGGACGTAGCGGCAGCGCCGAGGACGATACGAGAGCCTCGAGTAGTCGTGCAAACGACTAGCGACGTGGATATTCTCGACGATGGTTACCGGTGGCGCAAGTATGGCCAGAAGGTCGTCAAAGGCAATCCGCATCCTCGGTACTACTCTTCCCATACCAATTCATAATCCTCTGGCTATGTTCGTTTGCTCATCCGAATACGGAACATAACTTACACACACACACACACTCACCCATTTGTCGTCTCTAATCAGGAGCTACTACAAGTGCACGAACGTTGGTTGCCCAGTGCGCAAGCATGTCGAACGAGCCTCCACCGACATCAAGGCCGTGATCACTACCTACGAAGGGAAACACAACCACGACGTTCCCGCGGCACGGAATAGCGGGCACGACATGGTTGCTCCTGTAGGCCTACCTCCAACTGCAGCGGCATCGCTACAAGACCAAGGCCTCCGCTACGGTAGACAAGTGTCGGCCGGATGTGGCGACGCCCGCCGCGGCGAAAGCATCGCCCAAGCTATGGGACTGAGGGAGCGGATACGGAAGGACGACGAAACCTACATCTCTGCCCCGATCGCCATGAGCTTGTCCTCCAACGGCGACCACCGGCAACAACAACAAGGCTCCCAGAGCATGGACGGGTACCCACCACAGATGATGTCCAGGCCGAAGCAGGAGCAAGGGGACTCAAGCTCCCGGCCCTCGCATCTCAACCCCAACTCCTCGTTGTATCAACAAAACCTGGCGCACGTTGGCATGAGACGCTAATCCAAACTTTCTTCATCCTCTTGCCAAATTCTACACCTCCCCATACACACAACACTACCCTCTCTGGGCTGGTTTCTGTTCGACGAATATCTCCTTTTGTCAACATTGTGACTACTTCGTACAGTCGTAGGTAGGAAATTAGATACACTCCCATATCACGGTTGCCTTTACGCTACCAGCCTGTGCAGGCTGCGAGCGATATTTTTGACTAGGTAAACGTAGGCATCCCCGTCTCTCGGGGGTTGCACCCAACTCAGCTTAGACTTAGAGACACACACACAAACACACACACTAACACTCACATACCGTTCACATTGTAGACTGATTCTATACAACACTTTGAGCATGCAACAACTTTGCATATCAACAGTAGCTGATGCTAATGGAATCTGCGAAGGCGAGAGTTTTGCATTCACAAAATTAAAAGCTTTGGTGTCTCCTCTCCATGATCACCTGCGTTTCTTCCTGTGGATGCCAGTCCTCACCAGCGGTTGATCGTTGATGCTCTTTCAGTAAATGCTGCCGCTGCCTCTTTTTGAGGTTGCATCGACTGTGAGAGCTTGTATGGGTATTGTATTTGATGCAGTGCGTGATGAGAACTCTGGTGTGTTTCGTATGGTTTTTTTTTTTTTTCAGCTTTTGGTGTAATATTTTCTTCTTCTAGAGTTGTACAGTGTTCTTGAACTTGCCATGTGAATAAGTTGTTTTACAGAAAATCTTAACTGTAAACTCAGTATGGAGTCGTAATTGTTATGTTTTCTGAGTATATAAGATTTTATTTTTTATTTTTTATTTTTTTTAATTTTTTAGACATAAGTTGTTTTATGAATTGGTCTTATTATTCTACAAGAATGTAGAACACGTATGTCCTGTTTATAATTGAAGGTGAAAAATTAGTGTTTTCTGTGAGAGGTTCCTTTAAGTTAAATGATTACAACATAATTTGAACACAGAAAATTTAATGAGTGTTAATACCTTACTCAAAATGGGAACGTAATTTTTTTCAAGATTTTTAATGTTCATCTTTGAAAAAATTAGTAGTCGTTTAACAAGATACATACTTTGTTATTTATAAATTTTATAATAATTTTTCATTAGGTGCTGTTTTTTTTTTAATAATCAGAATTGGTCAGTGTCTTTTTTCTTGTAGATATTAAATAAAATACAGCATGACTGAATTTGGTTTCATCTATTACTAATGATCATGATAATGTTCATACTGTCGAGTTGAAGGTCACAATTGGTACGAAATGATTTACAAAATCACAAAATAAACCCCAGTTATAATTTTTTTTAAAATTTTCACATATCAGAATACACACATATGTACGAATGAGAGATTGCGTTTGTAATGTTACAAAATGATTTCTCTCGAATCCAGGCTTCGAAAACAAAATCAAACTTCCCGAAGATTTTGAAGATCTGAGGACGGAAGATCTTTAAAATGTAGATGGTCCAAGTATTAATGTATAACGCAATGGAAGTGCATTGAATGCGAACTCACCCTAAAACCCTAAACCTTGTTCTCTGGGCCATCTTGCCCTCGTTGCAGCATCACCTTCCTCCTTCTTCTCATTCTCCGCCATAGCCATTGCTGCCGCTTATGCCCTCCTCTGCTGCAAAGCTTTTCTTGTAAGAGTAATCCTCATCTGTGCACAGTCTGCTATGGCGATGGTTGCGGATACATTGACTTACATCGCTTGGTAGGCTCATACTGAAGGGCAAGCAATTAGGAAGTGGGAAACAGCAGCAATGGCAACCACTGTATCTCAGTCGAAGAGGTGGCTACGATACCCATATTGCAGGCCGGATGGTCGGTGCTGCGAACCCACGGCGTGATTCT